ATGGTGAGACTTATTTCAACGGACTCTGGATCAGTGATGTATAGAGCCCAGGAAGGAAGGCTGCAGACCATAAGTATACATGAAAAATAGAAGTATATAGCAGATTCTAAGAGCTCTCCCACCTTTTCTTGGCATAAGTGAACATATTATTGAAGAAGGGAACTCTTTTTTCTCTTTAATTTCATTTATGGCTTACATCTGGCATAAAGATACTGTGTGAATTTTGAGTTAGTGCTAATTGGTTGTCTAGCTAGAGGGAAGTAAGTAAGAAGTGAAATCCTCAAGGCAAAATTCTAAAATTTCCCTCTGGAAAAGTTAGAATACAGGCAGTCCTCAGACTTACGACACGGTTATTTCCTGAAAACCTTGTCTTAAGTTGAAACATTGTAACTCAGAACCGATTTTCTCATAGAGAACAATATTATAAATGGGAGGTTGGTTCCTGAACCAAGGCCTGATACCCTATTTTCACCCAAAATAACACAGAATGTTGTACTCAATCAATTATAAATGAATAATATAGCTACAATAATGTATTTATTTTGTAAATAGCAATCATATTGATTTGGAAGTACTTCTCTGAGGTGACTTTGCTGGACTTTCTGAAAGGCTCTTGGTTGGACTTTTTGAAGGGCTATTGGCTGGAGTCTTCTCAGGAGTCTCAGCTGCAGGTTTTTTCTAGAGTTTTGTCCGCTTTCTTAAAGAAAGTGTCCAAGGAAGTTTGGACAGATGTTCTCCAGGGAGATGGGAGATACAGCGAACTTGTTCGCTGGTGTGGCATGGCGTGGGATCAAGCATTGTAAAGTCAAAACCGAGGTCAGAAAGTTGAAACTGGGTGTCAATTTATAAACGCTGTAAGTGCGAAACGTTGTAACACAACGTTGTAAGTCAAGGACTGCCTGTATTATTCATAGTTTAAGAACATTCAATTGCTGTCTGAAAATTAAATTGGGAGACTGAAGTTCATCAATCACTGAACTATGAAATATAGGAGTTTTACTCTTGATTGATAACTACATTGCCAATTTTTCTAAAGCTAACAAAATTCATTTTCCAATACAGTACTCTTCAAAACATAATTAATTTAACTTTAAAAAAACTGTTTAGTGCTTTGTTTTTTCCTTGTTGATATTTATAAAGCACTTTTCAGTTAGTTTCTCCCTTGCTAACTTACTGTTAATGCAAGCAGTCAAACTGCCTGCATGCAAAATGTTGTCAAATACAGGATTTCTTTCCTACAAGCATTTCCCAGGTAGAATTATGTTACATTTATTGATAACAGCTGCAAGGTACACAATTTTCAGATAGAAATGTTATTTCCATCAAGTTATATGGGTACCTACAAATCAAAGTTCAGTGCAGCCTTTTTGCTGACCCCTCCCTAACAACAGCCTCCCATGGTAGAAGATTCGTAATTATCACTATCATCTGAAGATTAAATGTCTGAGATGCACTACTCTAGTCTAGTCTTGCCACCTTGGTAAGGCTTTTGATACATTTAGCAAACCCAGATCCCATAAGTTTTGTCCTATGGCATTTCTGCTTGAGACTGTTCATTTCTTTGTTTTCAAGAGACCTTTTTCAATGTCGCATTTTCTTCATTATCTTTTATTCCAATTGATGAACAATGCCAAAAACTGAATTCTGTGTTTGATATAACCAGGTTCTTCCAAGTCTGTGCCAATGCTACATTAGAGACAAATGAGGCAGATTTCAGTCCTCAGATCAGTTTCATCAGTAAAATATATTCCCTCTAGTGACTTCAGTTATTTCTAGCTGAGATCTAACTGGGCACATTTAACACGTTCATTAATGAGCAGTAATAACAGCACATTAAGTTTAGTACCTGTGATTACAGGTACTACGTTAAAGTACCAAAATTGGTGCTACTGCGCATTAGTGGCAGTGCATGTTTTTTTGGTGATACTAATGCATAAAAGACTAATTCTACTGCACATTAGCGTGGCGGGCAAAACCCGTGCTAATGTGCAGTAGAATTAGTCTACTGTGCTCAAAGACATCAGTGATCTTGCATATATGTGGCTGCTGAGGACCAAGCCTTTTCTGTAAAAGGTTTCTCTTTAGGTTGGCCAGTGTGCTACATTTGCAGTTCATTACAGATTATAATGCAGTCTGTGAAGAACAGTAAATCAATATGCTAGAAACCTAGCATTTTTGCCATAAAAGCTTCCATTAGAATTTCCAAATAGACCAAAGATCTTAACGTAATAACAATCATAGAATTATAGAAAATGAGGGCTGGAAGGGACCTCAGGGGGTCATCTAGTCCAATCCTCTGCTAAAAGCAGGACCAGCCCCAACTAGATCATCCCAGCCAAGGTTTTATCTAGCCAGGACTTAAAAACCACCAAGGATCGATTTTCCACCACCTCTCTGGGTAACCTGCTCCAGTGCTTTACTACCCTCCTTGTGAGAAAGTTTTTCCTGAATATGTAACATAAACTTCTCTTGCTGCAACAGCTCCTTGTCTCTCATCTGCCACCACTCAGAACAGTCTAGCTCAGTGCCAGGCAAAGTCTGACCTGCAGGCCAGATCAGTCCCATTTCCCAGAAAACCCTGCCCACACTGTGCTGCAGCTGGTTTCCATTGATACACCAGGAGACCCCAGAGCCTCAGCACAGAGAGCTGTGACAGCATGAGGGCAAGCTTTCCATGAAGACCAGCCTCAGCAGCACTGGTAAGGGTGCATAGCTGGTCAGGGAGCTGCTCGGGAGCCAGGGCCGGGGCCGGGGCCGAGGCCGAGGCCAAGGCTGGGGCCTGCACCAGCATTTTGCAGTGCTGACAGTGCAAGCTGAAGCCTGGGGAGAGCTGCAATCTGCTGCTCTCACATCCTAGGCAGAGGCATGCAGGCAGCGGATTGCAGCTCTGCCCCAGCTCCGGACCACGCTATCAGTGCTGCAAAATCCTGGCCCTGGCCTCAGAGCAGCTCCCCACTGGCTGCACACCCTGCCAGTGCTGCTCAGGATGGTCTCCACGGAAACCCTGGCCCCGCACTGTCCCAGCCCTGCTGCTCCTGGAGTCTCCATAGAAACAGACTGGAGTGATGCAGTCAGGGGCTGCTGGGAAATGGAGCCCATCTGCCGGCCAAATCCACCATTTCGCCTACCCCTGCATTAGCTCCATCATCTTTGGATCCCCACTTCAGATGGTTGAAGGCAGCTATTAAATCCCCTCTGTCTCCTCTTCTCTAGGCTAAACAAGCCCAGTTTCCTCAGCCTCTCCTCATAAGTCATGTCCCCCAGTCCACTCACCATTTTCATTGCCCTCTGCTGGACTCTCCAATTTGTCCACATCCTTTCCGTAGTGGGGGGCCTAAAACTGAACACAATACTCCAGATGTGGCCTCAACACTGCTGGATAAAGGGGAAGAATCACTTTCCTCAATCTGCTGGCAACGCTCCTACTAATGGTCCTACTAATAATACTGCAGCTTTATCCTACAATCAATTATAACCTTCTTCAATTACTGCAAGACAGTTCTTGTTCAGAACAAGGCAGAGACATAAAAGTATTTGCTTAAAAGGGGAAATCACACACACAAGTTAATAATTAATCACTTTTGAAATCAAACAGTAGTGTAAGGGTTACACCACAGACATTTCGAATAAATCCTATCCCTATCAAAAAGTCAATGGCAAAACTCCTTTTCATTTCACTGTTGCTAGGATTTCACCCCTAAACATTAGTGTCCCATCCTATCTGAGATTATGAGGTGACCAAGTTTTTAAACAAATTGTCTCTTTTATATTAGTTTCTTATAATTTTTCTCTCTCTCTGTTTTCCTTCATTCCTCTGTCTAGGCTTACAAGGCAATAGGGGATTTCAGTCTGAGCCATGGTCACGTGCAGAGTGAAACTGGTTGGGGTGTGTGAATTTGGTCTGTGCCATTTTATAGATAACGTCTGGCCGAGTTGTCGGGGCACAACACCAAGAGCAAGCATTACCTGTGTTGGATGGTATATAGAACATATTCTCTTCAGAGAACTTCCCTCATGCCTTTTGCCAGGACTTTTATCGGCTTTGAAGAGCCATTTTGGCCTCCAATTTCCCAAGGTAAATTTAAGAGAGAACTGACAGGCCATTAAAAAAAGGAGAAAAAAAAGAGCAGTCCAAATATTTGGAAACAGACATTGCTTTTGAGGTACCATAACAATTTTTATGCTAGAACAAAGCAAAAGCAAAAAGATATCCATGCCCTTTGTTACACCACAAATGCCTTTCTTTGTGCTGTGATAAAAGGTAGTAATAACCTGTGCTGGATGTTTGTGGTGGACATCTCTTTGCTTTATGTGCGGGGGAGCACAGGCAGTCTGGAGCTGCCCACACTCCCAGGGGTCTGGTCCTGTGTGCCCTGGGAATTTCTGGGCAGGATCAGGCCCCACAAGCTGCAACAGTGCCTGTCCGGCTTTCCCTTCTTACAGAGACATACTCCAGAGATCCCCAGCAGTGCATCTCTGTAAGTGGGGAACATGCTGCCCTGCATGTTCAATGGATGGGACAATGGGAAACATGTTTTTGCCCAATGAAGCAGATCAGCTGTGTTGGGACACATCTTGGCAGTTGATCTGCTTTGCTTGGCAACATCTATTTACATCCTAAGTCATTCTTAACTGCCACATGGAAAGCTTAAGAAACTCAAACAGAGGAATGATACAGAAAATACAGAAAACACAACAAGGAGTATCTATAGAGGTAATGGGCTCAGTGCCATGATGCAAGTAGTACTTTGCATCACATGGCAGTGAGCTCCAAAGCTGATCAAATGGTGCTGCTCTCAACATGCAACAGAAATACTTGTTATGTCCTATATTAGCCTAAGTTTGGTAACTGTCCTTAAAGGAAAGACTACTATAGGAGAAAAGTAACAAACAGCAATAGACCTTTCATCAAATGTACAAAAAGATACAGAAGGGAAAACATAGCCAGTGAATAAAGTAAGCAGTAACAGAAGAAAAATGAGAAAGAAACTGACACTTACTTTCTCTAATCTGCTGGTTGATTAGTGCTTGGTCATTTTCTAGTTCCCTCTCTGCTTTGATTTGTCCTGAGAGGATCTGCTGTTTTAAATCTTCAACAAAGAGCTGCTGTCGTTGAATTTGTTCCCTGTGGAAAGCTTCCTGTTCTCTCAGCTTCTGTTCATACTCTTCATGCACAGAATCTCTCTCTCTGCTGTTGGAAATGTTGACAAGGATTTTAAACCAGGAAAGAAACAAATAATTTTCTGTTAAAATAAGATTTCTTATGTTAGACAGATTCTTAAATCAGACAAATTTCAAGCAATTGTTTGTAAAATAAAGCACATAGTGGCTAATGAATGATGCCAGGAACATATAGTGTTAAAATAATTGTGGCCATGTATGATGTCACAGTAAGCTACACTCCCACTTATATCAGCAAAAAAACCTAGCAAACATTAAGCTTCTCATGGTAAAACAGAAAATCTGGCCATCAAAAGTTAACAGCAAGGGGAATTTTTTATTATCATTTTGTTTGATGTTGTCCTATAAAAAACCTATATTCTATAAAAAGAACATTTTATAAAAATAATATATAGCAAGACTCAGTGAAGATTGTTAAGCATCTCACACCTGATGATTTCAAAGTGCTTTACAACAGTGACAAGTATCATTATTCTGTTTTACAGACCCAAAAAAAAACCTGATGGGTTAAGTTTCCCAAGGTCACACAGTCTCTAGCAGAGTCAGGAAAAGACTCGGGTTCCTTGCCATATCCACTAGATAAAGTGGCTTCTTCTGTAATGTAGGTACTGTTTTGATTATAAATGTTACCAAAGCACTTTTCTAACAGTTTTGCTCCCCAAGAGTGCTCCAAAACACATAAATGCACACTAGGTACCATGACAAAAACCAAGCTTTTCCCCCCTGGATCCATTTGGATCCATACTGGGAAGCCATTAAAGTTATGGAAGAAGGAGCAGGATTTCATTGCTTAGACAGCAAGAGCACAATAGTTTAAAGTTCCAAATTCAGAACATTTATAAATAGATCTAGCTTAATTCTGTGCTTTTGTAAGCTGTACTTTTACTTGTATATTCAACCAATAAAATGTGTGGGTCATTGAAAAAGAGTAAACATAGAAATGCTGTCTTTATATATTCTTTTTAGGAAAGATCAGAACCATTGTTTTCTAAATTGTAGCTAAGATTGATGTTTTGGGGCTTTTTACATGAAACAGCAAAACCTGAAAGACCCTCGAGACTCCAAAGAAAAATAATAACAATCCATATTGAAATACTGCTGAAATGTCATCTATTTTTACAATTACTACTACCAAGAACACCTACCTGAAAAGAGGATTGGACCTCTACTATTTTAGGGGTTCATCTTGGTTACAGGGAGATGAACTATTAAGAAATGAAGGCCTGCAAATGCTACAGATACTAAAAAACCCCCAGAAGAGATAGAATACAGAAAGCATTGGTATTTAAGTACATATATCTGTAAATAGAATATTCAGATTAATTTTAGTGGTATAAGAAGGATTTTAATATGTGTGTGATACTTCTTATACAGTATTTTGATGACTACTATTTCTTTTATTCACCTGACAAGACCAGAGTTCAAGATTCTGGAATTTAAGTTTTGTTTGTTTTTTTAATGTTTATGTGAATTTAGAGCTCATGAACTGAGATCCTCTGCTGATATAGCAGGCACAGCAGAAGCAGCAGGAGTGCAAATTTTCCAACATCACCTTGGGAAAATGGCTCAGCTTGGTCCTGTAAATATTTCTAAGAACATTCTCCATGTCAGTTCAGCCCTTGGCCTCCTGTTAAGACTGTCAACACCTGTAAGAATTGTGGTAGTTGTTCTTCTAGGATGGGCAGTTATTGGTCCACTGGAAAGTAGACTGATAGCACCATCTCACTGTTCATCTGGCCTGAATAGTTGTCCTCATCTCTTTACCAATTCCCTGAACAATCTACACTCCTAGGAGTCCATATTTGACCTTCAGAAATGGATGACGTCACATAAAACAGACCTCTTTCTCTGACTTTTGTGATGTCATCAACTCTTGGGACATAGAACTCAGAACCTGAAACTAGGTGGACGAGATGAAAAGACTTCTGAGTGTCTTATTCAGAAAAGGTTTCGCTGAAGTTCCATTGACTTTAATAGAAGATTTACCTGAATTGGACCTGCAGGACTTGGTCCATACTTTCAAAAGTAAGTACAATGGAGAGACAGCATGATCTACAAGATAAATCACAGGACGGTGACACAAAAAATCTGGTTTTAAAAATATTTGTTGTAGATGTATTCTGTGATTTTAGGCAAGTCACCATCTCTCCATAACACTGTTTCCTTTCTCACAATATGTGTGTCCTGTTTATTTAGATCAGAATCTCTCAGAGCAAGGACTGTTTCATATCTGTGCAATATCCAGCAAAAGGGGCCTTGATTTCAGCTGAGAAATCTAGGTGCAAACCAGTAATGCAAAAAAGGAATGGTTAATACTAAACATAACACTACTGGTTAGTTTTAATCTTGCACATACATTCTGGCAATACACAAACTATTTTTTTTATTGGCTTATGATATTTCTTCTTCCAAAGGCACAGTAGTGTAGACGTCAGGAGACTTGGTTGAGAAATCTACTTTTCTCATTGATTAGCTGTGTGACCTTGGGTAAATTACCTAATCTCTCTCCCTTTGGGACTCCATTTTTAAAAAAAGGACAATTTCTTCATTCAGGGGATTCTAGGAAGACTATAATTGGCCTAGTATTCTAAACACTCTGTGTTATTTAAGAGTGAAGTACTATTAAGTCAACTCTTTCGTATTCCTGTATAACTAGCAATAGTACTCCACATAAAACATTCTCATAAAGTCTAAAACAATGAAAAAATATTATATTATATAGAAAAATAATTTTCACATGGAAACCATGTTCTAAAGATCAGCAAAAATGTTTTCGCCTGATCTTTTCAAGTTAGTGCTTGACTGGAACTTTTGGCATATAAATTCTCAACCAGCCTTACCACAATGTAGCCAAGGAATTAGAGGTCTCAGATATTCTGAAGTCAGAAACCAAGGACACTAATGTAGTAAACAGTTATACTTTGCATTTTAAGCTGAACACCTCAAGGTGTTTCACAGGGGTGGGCATGAATCATCTTCTATTCACAGATAAGCTAAAGCATGCTCGATAAGTTTTTCCAGCAACAGCTACATGACAGTAAGTATTGTGAGTTAAACAATTCATCTATGTGCTTGTTTTCCTCAGCAGCACTAGTACATTTTTTCATATGGGAGTTTCTTTTTGCTGAATTGGGACAAACCTATGTGCTTCTCTCCAACAGGAGTGTAAGCCTGTATGCTTAGCAGGAAAACAACTGGCCAAATCTTCTTTACTATGGAAAGGTCCACATTGGTAAAAGGCAGAAGAACACAAAGGAATAATTCTAACTCACAGGATTCAAAATTGTTGGTAACATTTAAAAATACAATCACAATTGCTGTTATTGCCTATGACTTCATTGCGGGAATAGACAGCTATCATTATTGACCCCTTGCTATTATTTCTGTAACAGAGGTACGAAATTTTGTCCTGAAATTGCTGAAAGGGCAGGAAACACATGTTAGCTGCAGTTCTGCTATTTCAGTGCCTCTGCCTCCCTTCACTTTTTAATAATGCAAGATAAAAATTGGATATAGAAATGGAGAAAGGTCTGTGCACCAAAAAGTCTTAACACACTGAAAGCCTCTTTGCACACTGCTCCTTCAAGCAGAACAGAGATATAATACAATTCAAAGGCCACTGCTTACATAATATAGGTACAATAGAAAATGGAGCCCCTTTCCACTGACAATGAGGCTAGTGATCTTGAAAATGTGATTTGCTTAGATTTGGGATTCAGATGTGTCACTCCACAGTCAGCAGAAACCAAGGATGTGAATGCAAAATGTTTCCTTTTTGCATCTGACCATGTTACAGTCACCTCGACTTACCCTTGCTGGTTTTTGAAAAATGATGGTGCAAATTGGAGTTGCAAATGAAGAAAAAAAAGCCAAATATGAAAATAAAATACTAACATACTTAGTAGTAATATACCAAAATAGACAATATAGGGATCAATTAATCAGGTAAGTATAAACATAGATAATAACTAAAAATAAGCTAATTCTATGTTACAAAAAACAGATGAACATATAAATATGGAAATATGAATAGTTAAATGAAATATGTACAGGTGGTTTCATTATTTCACTGAAATATGCCCTGAATTGGACAAACAAACAAGATTTGGACTTGATCAATAGGTTCTGAGTCTCTGTATTTCAAACAGCAACAAACTCCCCCTATGCTTCTGTCCCTTTTTTCCTAGTAAATAAAATATTTAACCCGCCCCAAAAAACAAAGGAGAGTCAGCTTCATTTTTTGCAGAGCAGAGCATCTTCCTCAAATACAGAAACCTAAGATGACAAGACTAGCATGTAAAAAGAAAAAAAAAACAGGCTAAAATACTGAGAAGCAGTGTCCCTGTATAGAATTTCATATATACGCAGATTTAGCAAATACAATAAGAATATTAACAGTTCCCTTTCCTCTAAGTAAATTTTTAAAATTATTAAGAAAACAGGCAAAAAAGATACCAACCTTAAACTAAATATAATAACAACATATTACTGAGAAAATCTTCATAGTATACCAACATAGCTGGGTTGCTTTACTGTCTCATCTCTCTATCCACAAAGTTTGCATTGGGCACACTAAATGAACCTTCTGTGGATCCACGGTTCCTCCAGCCTGTTTGTCGTCAGCTTTCTGGGATCCTATTGTGCAATTCACCTCCCCTCTTCCCCAAACATTTCAAAGACTGATGCAGAGGCTGGCGGCTTCTACAGCATAATGCAGTTTTCAGTAACTATGGCAGCGACAGCCCAGTAATGAAGCTGAGTGCTCCCTGACATACAAGAGTACAGTTCTAATCAAGAAACTCAAGCAAAAAAGCATTTTTTCTACAGAAAGAAAAAGTCCCTTAACACTGCAGTTTGACCTATGTAGTAAAAGAAAAAAAACCAGTCAAATTAGAATATTTTCCCTTCTCTCTGCCTGCCTAGATTCCAGTTATATTTTTCTTCAATTAATCATTGACTTCTGGCTTAAAAAAATAAAGAGAAATATGTTTTAAAAAGCCACTATTATAT